CCGTTTAACTGATTGTATTAATCGGTCAAAATTCTTACCGTCGGTTAACCGGTTAAATGGTTAAAATGAACATCCCTATTTTTAAAGGCTTTTATTGGCAAAAAAATATAATGAGTCAATATTTACAGTGTTGACCCTTGTTCTTCATAACCTCTGCGGTTCACTCTGTCATGCTGGATATCAGCTTCTGGGCCAAATCCTGACTGATGGCGATCCATTCTTGCCTTATTAGTTCTCGGAGATTAACACAATTTGTGGGCTTCTGCTTGTCCACTCGCCTTTTGAGGACTGACCACAAGTTCTCTGAGATCCGGGGAGTTGCCTGGCCACGGATCCAAAATTTCTCAATGTAATGATCTTCGCCACTTCTTTTTCAACAGCGGGCGACCTGAGCGACAGCGCGGGTGTGAGAATGTCTCTGTACCGGAACTCAGCATGGTTCCTCAAAGGACTCACCGAATTCACCAAGTAAGAGCTGCACTGCTTCAGAAATATCACAACACCTTATTACAGTATTAACAAACATAATGCTTTAATAATGCACATTGAAATATATAATAAATAATATAATATATGCTGCATAAAGGATCATGCAATAGCCTATTTAACGTAATCTTTAACATCAATAATTATAATGTTAAAGAGTCTTTTACTGTTAAAATCACAATCGATTTTTACTGTGTACGTCGTTCATGGAATGTTTTTTTGTGAAACGTTTTAGTTGAAAATTCGTCTAAATGTTGCTACTCGTTTCAGATGTTCAGAGAACATTCGAAAGTAACATTTCCATGTTTGTGAAATTATAAAATGGACTGTTTCCTTCGAGGAATGTTCTCAGAACATCCCCAGTATTCTGGGAAGGTTCTCTCAAAGTTCACTCAAAGTTATAAGCAAACGTTCTTCCAGTAACGTTAATAGAAAGTTTGTTCAAAGTTAACGGGTCTTTATTAATATTCTCAAAATGTTAGAACAAAACAATATATATCGTTCATGGAATGTATTTTTCAGAAACATTTTAGTTGAATTATTTTTTAAATGTTGCTACTCGTTTCAGAACGTTCAAAACTAACGTTAACGTAATGTTTGCAAAATGACTGAATGTAATATTCTCAGAACTGCCCTACCATACTGGCAAGGTTCTCTCAAAGTTCACTCAAACATTCTTTCAGTAACATTAATAGAACGTTTGTTCAAAGTTATCGGGTCTTTATTAATGTTTTCAATATGTTAGCCTTAACTGTACATCGTTTATGGATAGTTTTTTTTTCTGAAACGTTTTAGTTGAATGCTCATCTAACATTTTTTTTAAGTGTTGCTACTTGTTTCAGAACGTTCAGAGAACATTCAGAAGTAGCATTCACATCATATTTGTAAAATGATCAAATTAAATGTTCCTTTAATATTCACATTGCCAAGAAAGAAAAAAAAAACATTTTTAAAACATTTTAAAAATTGATGTTTTGAATGTTTAGAGAACATTCAGATATGTTTTCATAACTTAGCAAAAAGTTCTTAGAACATATTTTTGTTAGCTGGGTTCTTCCATTGCCACGTCCTTCATCTTAAAATAGTTTGATGTCAAACAGTTTGTCAAAGCATGCAAAAAGTGCATTAGTTATCTGAACTATCTAGCAGTGTTTTGAGAAGTGCGTGCGAAGGTAACCCTGTGACATCTCAAGACTAATTAAATGTGTGTGTCTCAGGGGGGCATTTCTGTCAGCATCTAAAAACTTTGTTGAGAAGGACCTAGAGACGTCAGTGGCGGGCCGATCCTTCATGATCACTGGAGCGAACAGCGGGATCGGGAAAGCCACTGCCATGGCCATCGCCAAGAAAGGTGCGTGTTGGAGAAAATCAGCAGTGGCTGGTAACTTAAACAAGTGTGTGAATTATTAGAAAATAGAAATTAACCTGGTGTTTCATGGTGTACTTATGTTCTTCAAATGTTTTCCATATGTTTGCGTGAATACAGTTGCCCTACAAAGTATTTGGACATATCTTTGGACATATCTGGTCACACAAAAACATGTTCAAATGTCATTGCATTAGATAACAAAACCCAGAATCTGCAGACAAATTATGCTAGACCTTCACGCTTCTTCATTGTTGCTTTACTCGTGCTCTGCATTTATCTAAATTTATGCATTTTATCTCATTTTATTTGTCTGCATCTATGCATTTATCTAAAGCAATGACATTCCAACATTTCTAAGCGTTTTTAAGTCTCCAAACACTTTTGGGTCGCAGTGTAACCTCTGTTGTCCCTCTTCTTCAAGGTGGTACCATCCACATGGTCTGCAGGAACAAGGACAAAGCAGAAGAAGCCAGGGCAGAGATCGCCAAGGAGTCTGGAAACAAAGTATGAGTTAATATTGGAATGACTGGGATTGTTGGCCTGCAGTTTAGATATTAAAGGAGCTGATTGTAACACAGATGGCTTCCACCATTGAACCTGCAGTAAAAATTAGAAAGCAGCTGCTTAATGAAGAATAATGAAGTAGATAGCATGTTTCTATTTGTACAAAACTCCACTGAATCATTGAAATGACCCATTTATTTATACACGCTGTCTGTTTCCAATGCGAGATGGTCTAGTAAAATACCTGACCTTCGGCCTCTGTGTCTGGCTGCAGGAAATCTATGTGCATATTTTGGATCTTACTGAGACCAAGAAGGTGTGGGAGTTTGCAGAGTCTTTTAAGAAAAAGTACAAAACTCTCAACGTCCTGGTGAGGCTTTAATATTGCGTATACACTATTGCTCAAACGTTTGGGGTCAGTATGATTTTTCATTCGAAATTGATGCTTTTATTCAGCAAGAACATTATATTGCTCAAAGGTGACGGTAAAGACATTTGTATTGTTACAAAAGATTTATTTCTATTAGATTTTGATTTTATTTCAAATACTGTAAATGCGGTTCTTTTCAACTTTCTATTCATCAAAGAAAAATAAAATGTATCACAGTTTCCACAATAATATGAAGCAGCACAACTGTTTTCAACATTGATAATCAGAAATGTTTCTGAGCAGCAAATCAGCATATTAGAATGATTTCTGAAGGATCATGTGACACTGAAGACTGGAGTAAAGATGCTGAAAATTCAGCTTTGCATCACAGGAATAAATTACATTTCAAAATATATTCAAATAGAAAACATCTATTTTATACGGTGGCCGAGAAGTGCAAAGCAAATCACAATTCTGAAAACAAAATAACAATTCAGAAAGCACAACAACAATTCAGAAAACATTATAACAAGTTAGAAAACACAATGACAAATTCAAAAACAAAATAAGTCAGAAAACACAACAAATCCGAAAACAAATTAACAAGTCAGAAAACACAACGACAAATCAGACAAACCGGAAGAGGTAGGTATAGTTTGAGACCGCGCCATTGGTTTGGGATTACTCACCGCTGACTGGACGAGACATCTGTCAATCAACGTATACAGGGAAGAACCAGTCGAAGAACAGCAGAGTCGTGGTAGAAAGTTCGGAGATGGTATTAAAGTAGCTCAGTTTAAATGTATTGTATGAATTGCCCTTGCTATGGAATAAAAAATACGGAGTGTATATTTACATTTACTTAAAAGTGGCTGTTAATCATCAGTTCCAGTGGCGCAGGTCATTGTGTTTTCTGACTTGTTATAATGTTTTCTGAATTGTTGTCGTGTTTTCTGAATTGTTACTTTGTTTTTTAGACTTGCATTTGCGTTTGTAATTTGTTATTTTGTTTTCAGAATTGTGATTTGATTTTCACTTCTCGGCCACCGTAATTTTAAATTGTAATAATGTTTCACAATTTTACCCTATTTTTGATCAAATAAAAGCAGCCTTGGTGAGCATGAGAGACGTTTTTTCAAAAACATGAATAATCTTACTGACCCCAGACGTGACTTTTTTTTAACTGAAGCAATGATCATTTGGTTGTTTGATTGGATTGACTGTGACAGATCAATAACGCCGGCTGTATGATGACTAAGAGGGAGGTGAATGGTGAGGGTTTGGAGAAAAGCTTTGCAAGCAACTCTCTGGGTAAGTGAGCAAACAAACAAACAAAACCAGCTCAATATCTCCTCAGGGCTAGAAGTCTTTTCTACTAACTTTATAATAAATAACATCTTCAATGCCTTAGCAGACTGTTTTCACCTGATGTCTCTGTTGTGTTCTTCAGCCGTGTACATCCTCATCAAGAGCCTCATTCCTCTGCTGGAGAAGAGCCCTGACCCCAGAGTGGTGAGTAAACCAGAGACTGAGAGCGACAGACGGAGGTCAGACGATCACCATCTTTCTCCTCTCTTTCAGATCACAGTATCATCCGGTGGGATGCTGGTGCAGAAACTGCGAACGGGAAACCTGCAGTCTCAGAGGGGCAGATATGACGGCACTATGGTGTACGCACAGAACAAGGTATATATACATACACATAGAGAGTGGAAAAAAAGCTTGTTGTCCACATACTGTACAGAAAAACTATTTATGATGGCATATGCTAGTTTAATCATTTATGTTATAGAGTTCATTGTTAGATTACAGTTCCGTGAATTGTAACTACAGTTTGAACATTTTTAGGATATTCCAGTTTTACGATCAAAGTCTCTTCAAGGCTGCATTTATTTGGTTACAATTTCAGTAAAAACAGAAAAATTGTGAGATATATTTCTGAATTAAAATAGCTGATTTCTATGTGAATATATGTTAAAATGTAATTTATTCCTGTGATCAAAGCTGAATTTTCAGCATCATTACTCCAGTCTTCAGTGTCACACGATCCTTCAGAAATCATTCTAATATGCTGATTTGCTGCTCAAGAAACATTTCAGATTATTATCAATGTTAAAAAACAGTTATGCTGCTGCTTATTTTTGTGGAAACAGTGATACATTTTTGTCAGGATTCTTTAATGAAAAGAATAGAATTTAATTGAAATGGAAAGGCCTTTACTGCCACTTTTGATAAATTTAATGTACCCTTGCTGAATAAAAGTACTAAATTCTGTCCCCAAAAAATCCCACTGACCCCAAACTTTTAAACAGTAGTGTAAAATTACTGAAAAAAAATATATACAAGACTTTACTGTTTCACTGACTTCAGTAGCTGTTTATAATGTCAGTGATTCTCGTGCTATCAGAAATGACTTCTATGTACTTCTTTCTTTGTGTTTCAGAGGCAGCAGGTGGTGATGACGGAGCAGTTTGCTAAAGCTCACCCCAATATCCACTTCTCTGTGATGCACCCCGGATGGGTCGACACGCCGAGTAATTGCAAATGCACAGTTTTTCATATCATAAATTTAAACCGTGCATAGATGCATTTTCAAAAAGCTACATGAAATCTTTTTATAAAAAAAAAAACTGAGGAAACTGCAAAAAATACATCACCTAAAACATGCAGTTTCCGCCAGACTTACATATTTACCTACAAGTTTGACATTGCTGATTTGACAAATAACATTTCCAATGTTACATATACATTGAATGCATTGGATAAAAGCGTCTGCCAAATGCATAAATGCAAATATTTCATTAACATTTATTCAGACTGATTTGCTTGTGTCTGATCTTGATGGATTCATTCTTGAATCTCATTCTTTAGCCATTGCGAATGCGATGCCTGATTTCCACAGCTCTATGAAGGAGCGTTTGCGGACACCGGAGCAAGGGGCCGATACGGTCGTGTGGCTCGCTGTCTCCGAGGCGGCTGTCAAGAATCCCAGCGGGCATTTTTTTCAGGGTGAGCAAACACACCCCCACACAAGCGCACACACACTGGCTGTGCTCCAAAACCTAGTGAGCCGCCTTGCTGTCCACATAGGCAGCAAATGAAATCTCATCAGTGACAGAAAGCAACTGTGTGTGCCACAAAAATGTTGAAGCACACGGGAGCCACAACAGAGCTGCATTAACATGTTGCTAAAGTATTACTCTAATTTGCATAAAAGTACATGATGGACAAATATTGAATTTTTAATATTAGATTATAAGCAACATTTGAATATTTGTTTTTAGGTATTAAATTGTTTACTTTTTTGTTAAATATTAAGGCAGCATTGCACCTTTTGCAAAGACAGCGATCTCAGAATGCATTGCAATAATTTGGGTGAAACAATCCAAGATTGCTTGGAAATATTCAGATTTTAGTACTTAAAATCATGAATAAAACATCTGTGTAATTAGAAATTATTATTTTACACAATATTTGTGCATGTTATGTATCTTAGAGTATGCTATGGAAGCTTATTTTCACCATGGAAGAAAAATATAAAAGCCAATTTTATCTCAATTTGTACTGTTTTTCTCAGAATTTCAAGCTTTTTTCTTGCAATTGCAATTTATAAACTCATATTCTGAATTTACATCTTGCAGTTTTACCTTTTTTCTCAGTACATCTCACAATCCTATTTTTCCCCAAAAAAATTCAGACTCCTGACCCAACCCCCTGAGCTGAAAATTCTGAATTGCTATATGTACATTTAGAATTCTGAGGAAAAAAGCCAGAATTGTGAGTGAAAATCAGAATTCCAAAAAAATATCAAAATTGCAAGATGTAAACAGAATTCTGAGGAAAAAAAGTGAGAGTTGCGAAATGTAAAATTAGAATTCTGAAAAAAGTCAGAATTACGAGATGTCAACATAATTCTGAAGTCAAAAAACTAAGAATTGAATTCTTAAAAAAAGATGTAAACTTAGACTTCTAAAAAAAAAAAAAGGTCAATTATGAGAATATAACTTGCAAATGCAAGATATTAACATGCAATTCTGAGAAAATAAAGTCTGGATTGTGAGATATACATTTGCAATTACCTTTTTTAAAATATTTTTATTTCATGGCAAAAATAAGCTTCCATAGTTTCTACATTAGCATAGCAACATGCAAAAGTCAAATAGGAATCAATTGTGAGTTGATGTTCCTGTGCCATTTATGTGCCAGTGTAGTGTTCTAAATCATTCACTTATTAGGCTCCATGTCAGTTAGGATGCTCCCTTAGAAGGCAGCGGGCAGTGAAGCAGCGCTCAAGGTTTTGGAACCGAGCTGCTGTCTTTCTCTCCATCTTCTCCAATAAGGCATCCATCCGTTTCCATATGAAACAAGTAAGCCTTTCAGGAGACAGAGAATGGATGAAAGACGCTGAAGAAAACAAGAAAAGCATGAGCAGTAGAGAGAAGATGAGGAGAATACAATGAGTGTACAAAGAAAGACTGGACAATGAAAATGAAAGAGAGGAACGGAGGATGAAAGGAGAAGGAAAGAGCGAGAAAGATCAAGAAAGAGAAAAGGGAGTTGGCGGAGCTTCTGTACCAGACACGGCTGGAGTGAACTCACAGCGACCTTATGACCTTCTAGGACTGGGAAAATCAAACAGACCAAACAGTCACTACTCTGACTTTAAGGCTAGACTACTGGTGAATGAGATATCACTATACTTTTATGAATCACAGTACATTAAGAACATGTTTTCTGAAATTAAAATATGCTAATGAGAAATCAGATCATTAAATATGCTCTAATTTGCATATATTTCAAGAATAGAAATATGAACATTGAATAATGCAAGTTTTTTTTTTTTTACAGAGAGAATTTTGGATTTATCTTAAGCACTCATAAATCAGAAAATGCTGTCAACAGCCAGTAAAATAAAAAATCATATTTTAGGCATAAATTGTTATCAGGTGAATTATATGATTTAACATGAACAAACCCCTCTGTAAAAACCTTCAGTATATAGATAGCGATAAAACTGTACATTTTGGTGTATGTAAATACTATCAAAGTAAAGAAAAAATTATTTTGAGAAAATGGCCTTTAAAGATATGCATTGTAGGTGAGATCTACAGATGCAAATGAATAAAATACACTGAAATGTGTATTTTTTTTGTTTTTTTTTCACTAGTCTGAAAGAAAACACATTAAAGGCAAAATTTTATGGAAGCCTGTTTCCGCCACTAAATAAAAAATAAAATAAGGTAATTGCGACTTTTTATCTCACAATTCTGACTTTTTTTCTCGGAATTGCGAGTTTAGATCACGCAATTCTGACTTTATAACTCGCAGTTGCGAATGATAAAGTCAGAATTGCAAGATATGAACTCGCAATTCTGAGAAAAAAAGTCAGAATTGCGAGTTTAAAAAGTCACAATTACCTCGTTTTATTTTTTATTCAGTGGCGGAAATGGGCTTCCATACAAAATTAACCAATTCCTGGAGAAAAAAAGAAAAGAAAAAAGAACAATGCTTTTGCCGGTAGTGTCTTGCCTTAAGGTCTCTTTCTTCTCAAAGTAATAGCAAAATAATAATAATTATTATTTTATTATTAGGGGGGGGGGGTTATCGCTGCTCTCCCTGCTCTCATCCATGCTAGGCTGCATGGATGCGCAGGGAGTTCTTGCCCAGAACGGAACCATACCGCCAATCCAAACTGTATGCTAATTGTCAATTATCTTTGACGATAGTGGTCCTGACAGAAATATATATATATATTTTTTTTTTTTACATAAATATCTTATGCACATATGTAGCCATGTATTCAGAACTGGTAGACCAAAACTACTAACTTAAGAATGAATTGTTGCAAAACCCCTATTTGTGCACCAGTACAGTTCTGATTTCTTGTGCATGTTGTTTTTATGATACGTAGACATGAAAGGTTACTTGGCAACTGCAAACACTCACTGTTGTGATCTTGATTGTCATTTCCATGGTAACAGTGACTTCTCTGATTGGTGGTCTTGCTCGAGGATTATGGGTAGTGCAGTTCTTCAACTGGAATTGGGTGGAAATCAGACACATGGCTTCTACAGAGGCACATTTCATCAATTAACAACCTGCTCTCTATCGATTCTTCAGGCAATAGGAATTATTTCTCCAGATGAATTTGGGTGGATTTCATGTGTTAAACATCCTTTTGTCTTTGTGTTTTACATGCATTAGATCGGCAGATGGTGTCGGCTCATCTTCCCTTGGCCTGGACGCGCAGTTCACAGCTGGAAGATCAGAAATTCATGAGCGTCATGGAGGATCTGGCCAAAAGTTTCCAGCCTCACTAAAGAAACTCGCATGAAACACAACTGCATCACAAATAGATGGAGAACACTAATACACAACATATTTTAACAGTTTAGACACATTAGCCTCACCCATAAAGCCGTGTGAATGTACTCACAGTGTCTCACAACAGACTTTTAGCTGTAGATTATGTCCTCCAGAACTCAGAAAGTTTGAAGGTGTGAACGACTGTTATGCTCAATAAATGCTTAAATATGTTTGTCTTTTACCTCAATGACTACTTCCTGCTTCTTCCTGTTCTACTTCCTTGTACATTTCAGTTCTCTCCTGTCATTGGTCAAATCAAACGCAGGAATCGCTCTTTTCCAACAGCTCGTTCTGACACCATGTGATCAATCTCAGCCAATCACAGTGCGTCCTCACTCTCACTGTGTCGGTGACTCCAGCGAATCAGGTCAATCAGGTGGGAACCCGTTCTGACCGGAGTCACCCCAGCTGTCAATCACTCACTCAGCCAATCACCTGGTGCAGCACTGGAATCTGACTGAAAAGGACACTTCCTGTTTTTGGAGGCCTGTGATTGGACGTTTCTTTGGTTTGATAGTGTCACCTGATGTTCCAGAGAATGAGGAAGTGATGTGGAGTTTTTTTTTTTTTGGTGTGTGTGTGTGTTTTTTTTTTATCTGTATTTGTTCTGATAGTAACATTTGATTACATTTCTACATATATAGACTGGGTTATTAATTATTAATTATGACTGTACTTTGACACTTTAATAAATGCCTTTGAAGGTGTGTTGGTGTATGTCAGGGTTATTCTATTTAACAAAAATCTTTACAAAAAATTAGTAACTGAAGTAAAATATAAAAAGTATTTTAAAAAGTATATTCCATGTTTCCAAGAAATCATTTCTAATTTTCACTTAATTTAAAGTGAAAATTAAATAAAAACTACAGACATATGAAAAAACAAAAACAAATAAAAAAAGGCAAAAACACAGAAATAAATTACTAAAACTAAATATTAATAAAACTATAATAATAGCTCAAAGATCCTAAAATAACACTGGTGTATGTGGGGCACACACACACACACACATACACACACACACACACACACACACACACGATACACATATTAAGATTTGCATTGTTATATTTTTATGGCAATTATTAAAAGTTTAATTCTTACTGTAAAATTATATTGTGTGCTACTATTTACCAGTTTTCCATTATCAGTTTTGCGAGCTCATGCAATACTTATATGTGAGAGAATGCAAAAGCATTGCAATATAATTTTTTCTTCCAATTTTACAATTTTCCATCACCATTTCCCTTAGAATTCCCCAAAAGCATTAAAAAAAATAAACAAAAAACAACTTTAACATGCAATTTAAATGACCAGAAGAACTACATCTCTTGCATGAGATACAGCTTAGAACTTTATTGTAATATTTCGTTCAATCTGACAAACTACAGTCATCATTAAGACTTACGTCAGTTTTCATATTCGCGGCAGAAGAGTTTTATATGAAAAATACAGATGTTTGAACTCAACTTTGTATACAGAGAATAATACTTCATTACTGAACTACTGAAGTAAAAGTAAGTTTTAGAAAAAAGCACATAGAAAAACAGGTCTCAAAGTCATTTAGAGTTATTTACAGTTTTAGGGTTTGATCATTAGAAGCGTGTTGAACTTTACAATGTTTTCAACGGCTGAAGATAAAGAAAACAGTTCGTGTGATTTTACATGGTGGTTAAACTGAACCGCGATATCGGCAAAACAGTGTGACTCCCTGAAGCGTCAGTTTCAGATGTCAAGACACATAACTCACAACAAAATTGACATTAAATCTTTCCGGGATGAATCTCACGACATTCTTGTCAAATTTCGCGAGATTTTTCCAATTAAATGACACAAAAATGATGTCACACACAACAACGACGTCATAGAAAACCTGCTTTCTGTGACATCACTGCATTCAACAGCTCTTCTTGCATTCACATCCTGTTTGATTTTTTTACATTAAATGAGGAAAATCAGCTACAAAATCTTATGAATGGGAATGCAATTATTTACAAAGCTCGGAATGGGATGCATATCGAAACGAGCAAGCGCTTTACACAGGCACGAACCAGCCTTTTAATGCAAACACTCGCACAGATGCCATTTGTACCGTCAGATCACGAACACACACAGACTGTGCAATTCAGTGCATGGAACAGAGAACTGGGAAAGACAATGAACGAGGGAGAACGACTGAGAGAAAGTCCTGACAGATGAAAAGAACTAAACTAAAGAACTAAAGTAAAACAAACAGCGCTGGTCAGTTATAATGTTTGTAAACCGGTTAGAATTCTATCTTCTCATTGGCCAATGTGACGTTAGTTGTGAGCTGTGCGTCAATTTCTTCACATGCCACAGCTTGAATCTGAAGACTTTTTGAAAGAAATAACTATTTAAAGAAAAAGTGCACCCAAAACGACATTTCTGTCATAATTTACTCACGTTGTTCCGAACGCTTCCGAAGTCATATTATAGCTACGTATCAGGAACAAACCGAAATGCTAAAACTCCCGCCCTACAACGCATCTCTCAAATCTCATTTGCTCATTGCATTGCACCTAGTCAGGTTAGGCGCCATATTGAATTAAATAAGGCTGTGAGGGATAGACTTACGCACTGTATAAAATTCTTAGATCGTAATTTTCACAACTTTCAAAAACTGTTTTGTGGAGTTTTTTTCTTCGGAAAGACCTTTCTTCCACTGGACAATCGTTATGTTGTTACACAATCCACACAATCCATTAAACGCACTGTACTTCAGTCACTCACAGCTTTATTTTCATTTGTCAAAAATGAAAATTAAATATGGCACTACCCAGCCTAAGGTCTATTTGTCAGGTTTGACATCAGCAAGAAATATTGCAAACTGGCACGTTAGATTATGCTAATGAGAAGAAACTATTTGTTGGAATATAGAACAATTAATATCACGCACAGGTCTTAAAGACTATTTTTATTGTTCATTTTTGTCAATTTTGGTTTGTAGAAGCTATTATACGGATTCAGAAGAGTTGTAATATAGTACACAAGTTGTATGGACTAATTTTAGGATGCTTTGTTGGAGCCTCAGTCCTCATTCACTTCCAGTGTATGGAAAGAGCAGCATCAACATTCTGGTAAACATCTAATTTTCTGTTCCACAGAAGAAAGCAAGTGATCGGAGTTTTGGAAAGACATGAGTAAGTGTTGTAAATGTTGACAATTATTGGGATAAACATCACTTTAATATGAAAGTCTGTTTCAACCATGGGATAAAAAAAGGTAATTGCATCCTTTTATCTCACAAATTCTGCCGTTTTTTTTCCACACAATTCTGTTTAAATCTCACAATTCTGACTTTTTTCTTGCAATTCTTAGAAGAAAAAAAATACATATACATATATATATATATATATATATATATATACATATACATATATATACACACACACACACACACACAAATACATACATATGCAACATGTGTGTACATATTTATAGTTTTACATATTTATGTATATATTTATATCTGTATATAACTACACACAGATATATCTT